ACAGAAAAACTTGAGACCGAGATTTTCAAGATGAAATTGTGTGGGAGAAATTTTATTTAATGGGATTTTAGTTGAGGTCGATTAAATTAATTACTGAATTTTAATTCCGATGATGATAAATTAATGTCAAATTTCTGTATAAAATTAATCTTTTTGGTTGGATTTGGGATTCATGTTACGAGGATGCGATCCATTATGGTTTTTGGCTAGACAAGAAAAGTTTCGGGTAACCCTGGTGGTGGTGGTGGTGGGTGAGGAAAGAAGAATAATAGTATTTTTTATTTTATTTTCCTCCAATTCAGTCTTTTTCATACATCTTTTTGCAAGAATTTTTTGTTTATCTAAATTTAAAGATAGGATTGTCCTTTTACGTGACATTAATGGTAAAAATGGATTAAAATCGTCAATAGGGACGATATGTATAATAAATGAAAGGTTGGGAATGAGAGGGATAAAAATTGATTGGAGACGAAATTATCACAAAATGAAAATGTTATGGACCCATAGTGAAATTTATCCAATTGTCTTAATACGGATAGGAACAAATGCCTGTCTAGATTATTAATTAATGTCTTATCAGTTTTGAAACGACCTTTAGTGGCAGTTTTTTATACTTGTGTTAGACAAAATAACGAACAAATCTTATTACACGGTTCTAATCTATAATTGTGTCCAAAGAAGGTAATTGATCATGTCTTTTTTTAATCAACAATGTTAAATGTACAATCAAAGTTTGACATTATTTTTGACACTCCATTGTTTTCAAAAAAAAAAAAAATTGTGGACGGAAGTTTTTTTTTTTTAAACTGTCTAATGTGATGTCGTAAATGGTCAACAGTTCGAGTTCCCTCAAGACCACTGAAGTGAGTATCCGGCCAAAACCTCAGAGACTTGTGAGATTAGTCGAGGTACGTGCAAGTTGATCCGGACATCCACGGTTATCAAAAAATAAAAAGTGATGTCGTCGCGTGGCAAGAAATAAAGAATGATGTAAAAAAGAGTGTACATGTAACATGATTTTTAATGGACCCCAATGTCATTAATTTTCTTGAAAACTTTGATTGAACATGAGTCATCAAAAGTCTTTAGCATTTTGACAAAGTGAGCACTTCAAGAATCGTTTTACAATTCATTCTAATCAACCCTAATCGTATTCACTCAAAAATCGGTTTAGATCGATAATATTTAACAAAAAATTGTTATTAAAATTTTCATCGGTAACGAGACCAACAAATTCTTGTTACTCTTACCATATTTTGTGTATCGAGTAATAGAAAATTGCGTTTAGCATTTCACCAAGAAATCACTTGCTTGTCAAGTCCAGATCCTCTAGTAAATTAGCCATATCCTAGGTAGTTATAGCCACTATGTAACACAAAATCTTTCACGGATTTTAAGGAAGAAACTTATTGGGCTAATTAGATTGGAATTTTGAATCAAATTAATATCACCATGTGTATGAGCTAAGTTGGTGGGAAACATCAATTATTATATCTGAGTTGAATGGAATCTCACTGTCATGAATTGCCTATAAATTAATAAAATTGCAGTATCGCCATTATTTCATAGGTTAAATATTCTACAAAATTGGATAAATAACTTTAGAATTGGTTAAATTTTAGATTTGAAAATAGTCGATTCAATATCGTATCTGAAAAGGCGTAGGTTAAGCATTCAATTATTCGTCGCTTTTAATTTCTGAATTATGTATGTTACATTGTTTAAGGAATAATATAACGGTGGCCCCACTGCTAATTTTTATTCATTGAATAGTATAACAATGACTCTACTATTAAAATGTTGAACCCCAACCTTGAGGGCCCCCCACCGCCCTGCCCTTAAAGTATCGTGGAGGAGATAAATCGTGGGATGTGTCTCAATAGGTCAGGGTACAAGAGCTGCCTACTGGTGCCCACAAAAAGTCAAATTCCATACATTGTAAGAGATAGGAATCGAACCCTCACACCGCGGCTGTCAACTTAGTTGAAACTACATCACTCATGTCATTTGCACCATTAGTAACAGTGACGCTACTGCTAATTATAGATGGATGATGAACCTTAATAATTATAAATGGTATTACTCTCGAAAGAAATAGTTTTAATTTTTTTATTATTTGTATATAATATATACGCTATTGTTTGAAAATAGTTTTTTTAATTGAAGGAAGAGGAAAACTTGATTCTATCTATAGAAAGGTGAAAAGGTTAAAAAATCCTTAAAATTATTTATTTTATGTTGTCAATATCATAGGTTAATGCTACCTATTCTTTTCATACTATGCCAAAAAGCACTAAGGTTTGGGACCACGGTCCAAATAATTGATACATTTGTGTTACATAATAATTTCTAAAAATGATTAATTTTTTAGGTCATATAAAGACAATTGGGTATATGTCCTCTTCAATTAACATCCGTTCATTTTCCATTCTAAATATCAAAAGATAACAATATATGAAGTATAGTTTTTATAAATTTGACTCTTCTCATCACTTGATTCCATCGTTTAATTTCCAATACCAAAGAGGTTTATCTTTTCTTGTGCGATATATAAATTTCTCAACCTAAATGAAGGAAGGATCAAAATCCTCGCACCCAAATGCAAACAAGTGAGTCTTCTAGTTTTTTATCTGAGAATATTGACAATTTTAAAAAAAATGTGGAGAGAAGTGGACTCAAATAAAAAAGTACATGTGAGGACAAAGTTTGTAAACCTAATTGCGAGGAGGAGAATGTCGAAGGCAGTGCTAGTGATTTGAGTGAAATCATAACAATATAGTCGTATGAAAACACATTATTTATTTATTATTATTATTATTATTTTTTATAACCGTTAATGTTCGGGCAAATTTGCTCGTACCTCGACTAATTTCACGCGGCCTTGAAGTTTACGACCGGGTACTCACCTTAGTGTCCCTGAAGGAATTCGAACTGGTGACCATTGGGGAGCAACTCAATATCTGATCAATTGAGCAACCCTTCAAAATTTTTTCATTGTCAAAAGATAATAACAATCTAAACATACCATGTGTCATCAGGGCAAACGGTCACAAACACCACCCTAATGCTGCCTCAATTCTTAGAAGAAGGGGTGGGAAAGAAAATTGAAACCAACCAAACCAAATCGGAATCAGTCAGTTCGATTCGATTCCGTTCTGCCTAAATTTTAAATGATTCTAATTCTTAAAACCAAGAACTTGTTATAATCCAAGCTTTTGTTTTTTAATTAGTTATTTTTATTTGTTAACATGATGAATGATTTTTATTTTACAATATTTAGTATGAAGATGGAATGAAGCTTATTATTTTAATTATGGATGTGTGATTGTCAACTTTTTGCGATAGATTTTATATTGTAGTTTGCCTTAATAATTTAAAATTTTTAATTATAGAATCAGTTCCATAATTACTAACGAAATCAATGGTTCCATTAGAAGAAAACTATTGATTATTGATTTCTAAAGGTTATGGAAGAACCCGAATCCAATTAATGGAACCATGGCCCTACTTAGAAAAAAATATTTTCTCTCTCTTTTTTTTCCTTTTAGACCTAAGTTTTTTTTTTTTTTTCTTTTTTTGACCTAAGTTTTAAACCCTTGTGAAATTTAAACAAACAAAAAATCTTTTTGTTGACATATATATCGTAGTTCGGTATCTTGTAATTTGGTTGCTTCCCTTATATAAAAGTATAAAATATAACATGTAATGTTACCGAAACTAATTACTTTTTTTTTTCATGCCCCAGTTTGGTACGGACTAAAATCAGATTTGTAATAAATTTTGATAAAATTTAATAAAAAATGTATAAAATTCCGTGTCCAATGAAATATAGTCGTTTTACGTGACATACACGTGACAAACTGCCACATATATATTACGTAAAATTATTACAAATAATTTTCACTGTATATAAATAGCATTACATTTTTTGTTATTCTTATAAAAAAAGAAATAAAATACCTTTTTGTTATTTCATGAATTTCAGTTCGCCCTACTTTCCCTCAAACTTTGGAAAGTGGTACCCCTAAACTAACGTCACAAAATTAGAATATTCACTGCCCAATTACATGCTGACTCAGTGGCCACCAAATCTCACCAATAGCTCTCTAAAAAATTTTCCTTCAACTTCGCATTCACACAATAAAATTTTCTGTACATAAATTCAATTTTTTTAATATATTTTTTAACCACACATTCTCCTAGAAAATACTATTCAAAACTTTGTTTTCTGCAATTAATGGTTGTCAAACCGGGGCTAAACCCCCCATCAAAATTAGAAAATGAATACTTTGACTAGACGATGATTATTAATAAGGATAAAACTGATATAATGCCGATTATTTAGCCTTTTGGTAAAGATTTTAATCTAAACTTTTATCAAAATCAAAACTAAAATAATTAATTTTAATCATATCTTTTATGAAATCTTCAACTTTTCAGACACATATTTAATCAATTTTTATCAAAATTTAGTAAAAATATGATTTTAATCCCTATTAAACAAGTGCTTAATACTAAGATACTATTCCGACCTAAAATAATTGACTATTTTTCAAAAATAATAAATATGTTATAAACTCGGCCAACTCGAACCAACAACTAAAAAATAAATAAATCTTAGAAAGCAAAAAAAAAAATTGGGACACCTGGGTATCCAAAAAATAAATAAATCTTAGAAATTTATTACTTGGATCATCATAACATATTAACATTCTTCAATAAAGAAAAAGCAAACCAATCAAACAAGAGAGAGAAAAAATTGATTATTAAACTGGAAAATGATGCTCCAAAGTGGACATCTAGCAATTGTGTATAGCATCCAACGGCTTAGATTCACTATCATCCTCACCATATTCTGTTCATCTCCACTCTCTACCTTCCAATTCCCATCTCAACCCTTCTTTCTATATATAACCCTAAAAAACACACACGGTCACACACACAAAAGATTCAAATTTTGTGTTCTTCGTTTTCGTATTTCTCGCTTTAGGTTTGACGCGATGTCGGGAAAGGGTGCACGCCCTACTTTTAGGAGGACAACAAGCATGACAGGAATCAGGTTTGATGTGGCCACTTCGGAGGCACCACCACCACCGTCTGATCCTCAAAATACGATGGCCGGCAGTGAATTTATGGACGTAGAGGGTCTCCAAAGCCGTTTGATTGAATATGATCATCTTTCAACGGCCATGACTTTATCACCAAGATACTACAACAGGATCAGTTCAACATTTGATTCCAATGCAGAAACCGCTCCTTTCTTGAGAACCTGTGGCCTCTGCAATCATCGTTTGGCAGCTGGTCGTGACATATATATGTATAGGTGGTACCTCTTCTTCTCTCTTTCTAGTGGACAAACTAAGAACTGAATTAGTCACTTAGCCTCGACAACCATTATTTCAAAATTCTTTAATTCTAATACTTATTTCCAATCACTCACTTACACAATAAAATTTTTTCTTATTTGTTAATCACATATTCTAAAAAAAATTTACTATTTAAAACTTTATTTTTTCGAAATAATGGTTGTCCAATCGCTTAAGGACGCTTTAAAACGGAAAAAAACCAGATTTATTTTTTCCTCAAAGCGTGTCACTTGCTTTAAATTTTGAACCGAACCAACTCAGTCGGCTAAGTGTACACTTGGTACGTGATTAGGGGTATTTTTTATTAAAAATTTGACACGTAGAATTGTTATGATTAGATGACAATTAAACTTCGATTAGTAATGTTTATGTGCAATTATTCGTGTTTAATCATTTCGACAATAATGTTGTTACCCTTTTTTATTTTGACTGAACTATGAAACAGCGACTGTTATAATATTTTTATATTTTGCAAGAGATAATGCATATAAAAGTCTAAATTTTTATTGGTTTTATTGTATGTAAACACTAGACGCAAATATTGAAATTTTGAAAATGACAAAAATGAATTATTTGTATATAATATTCTAGAAATATTCTAATTTGGACTCGTTGCAATTATTGATCTATTAATTTATTTTTTTGCATAATTAAAATATAGAATAAATTTTTATTTCTTTCATTTTTCATTTCTTTTTTTTTCTTTTTTGTGGGCATCATTTATTGTAAATTTAAATAGTAAATTAATGTGTTCTCTGTCTTTTGTAGGGGTGATAAAGCATTTTGTAGTCAAGAATGTAGAGAACAACAAATGGAACAAGATGAAAGAAAAGAGAGACGAAGTATGGCGGTTCCAAACGACGGTGAAAGTCATAACCACCGCACAGAAGTGGGTGCAGCCGCCGCTGAGACAACCGGAAAGAGTGAGACTGTGGCAGCAGCTTAATGACAATACATTTAGATATATAGCAAATCTAATAATCCTCTGGAGTATATTATATCTTGTGTAAAACAATTTTAACCAAGCAAGTTGCACGAGTGCAGTATTTCATGTGGATATAGAATTATAAGGAGTTGGTTGTGTCAATTTTAATGGTTGTTTGGTGAGGTTATTGTTTTGGAGGTACAAGATTGAAGGTGTACGATAGAATATGGACTACTAGTTGGAATCGAGTCATGCCTAGGGATACCTCCTATAACAAGGCGTGGGTAGTTTTGAGGGGTGATCATTTGATACTTTGAATATGTTTCTTAACATGCATTGAGTGTCATTATCATGTGTACACGTCATAATCTTTCGACATTGCCACGATGCCTTTCATGCCTCGCTCAAGAGAGGTCACATTCCAATTCGAGGCTCATTTTGCACGTTGGAATATCTTGGTGTAAGACAGAATATAGACTAGTTGGAATCGAGTCATGCCTAAGGATACCTCCTATAACAGGATGTGGGTATTTTTGAGGGGTGATCATTTGATGTTTTGAATATGTTTCGTGACATGCATTGAGTGTCGTTATCATGTATCGCGTGTACACGTCATAACCTTTTGACATTGCGACGATGCCTTTCATGCCTCGCCCAAGTTAGGCCACATTCCAATTCAAGGGTCACTTTGCATGTTGGAATATCTTGGTCGCACAAATTGAAACGGAAATTCGCTCTTAGCACATATATATATATATATATATATATATATATATATATATATATATATATATATATATATATATTTATATAT